GTGGGTGTGTATGATAGGTGTGTGTGGTATACAGTGCGTGTGTGTGTGTGTGTGTAGGGTGTGGATGTGTGTGGTGTGGGTGTGTATGATAGGTGTGTGTGGCATACAGTGCGTGTGCGTGTGTGTGTGTGTGTGTGTAGGGTATGGATGTGTGTGGTAGCATGGGGTGGCCGTGTATGATGTGTGACCATGTGGGGAGTGTGACTATGGTGAACAGGTGTTGTAGGTGTGGTGTGCGGATGTTTGTGGGGTTGGATTGCATGGTGGGTGGACTGTGGGGGGCGCTGGTGTGAGCCTGTGTATGGGGAAGTAGAACCGTGTGGGTGGAGGGAAAGGGAAAGGTGTGCGGTGGAGGCAGATGTGTGAGGTGCCCTCTGTGTGTGTGTGTGTGTGTGTGTGTGTGTGTGTGTGTGTACAAGTGCCCTAGTAAAAACATCCCGGGGCAGCCTTGCCTTCTAGAAAAAGTTGTCATTGTTTTGCTTTCTAGAGCATTTATGTCCCCTTCACTGACTTTCTGAGTTTAATTCAATATAAAATATTGAGAACTGAGGGGACTGTTACCAGATTTCTTTGAAGTGTATTATAAAACCACCTTTATTTAGCAGCTGCTCAGGAAGAGAATGGAGAGAAAGCACGGGGATCTACTGCCATCTGGTGGAGAACGTCGGCACTGCTGGCGTGGCAGGGAGAGGACCTAGGTCGGGTGCTGTGGCAATGGGCTGGTGCGTTTTGATTCATTTGCCGTTGTTGTTCAGTGCACTCACCGCGTGCCTGCTTCTCCAGGCTCTAACCTATCAGCCGCCCTGTGTGGAGGATGAAGCGAGCAGGGCCTCCTAAGTGCTGGGGGACAGTGCGGGATGAGGGTTACACATCCGGACTCTAGTTTGACGCCCAGGGTTCAGACTTACAGGTCACGTACCTGCCAGCCACGTGCCTCCTCGTGCTTTAGTTCCTGAGGAATGAGCCGGGTAATGCGTGCTGTCAGAGTAAGCACCACACATGAGTTTCTGCACCGTCGTTACCCAGGCAGATTTTACTCTAGGCCTCTCCATTCGGAGCCATAGCCGATGTCCAGGAGAACAGCTGCCCGGCCTCTTCACAGAAGGACTGGGCTGCCCAGAAGGACAGAGGGCAGGCAGGCAGCTCCGCAGCGGGACAGCATCAGGGCCTGCACACATCACTGCAAAGGAAACCATTCGTCAACCCACGTCCCTCTGAGGCAGCCCATTCTGTGTCACGCCGCTGTGGCGCACATTGCAGTCTGTGTTCTTGTTCGTTCCCTTCCTTTGAAAGGACTCTGCCTCCTCTGCCCCCAGCGCCCACAATCTGGTGTGAAGCTTGTTGGGCCATTTTCTCAGAGCAGCAGACAGTTTCCTCAGCCTAGAGAACAGTGTGGACCAGCACGACTTTACAACTCCAGACCATCCACGTGGAGCCAGAGGAACAAAAACCTCGAAGAACAACTGAATGCAAACCAGCGCGATCCCAGAAATGAGAGCAGAGGAAAAGCAGAACATCCAACCAATCACCTAACTGCCCCTGGGCCATGACTCGGACGTGCTCCACTGCGGCAAAGAAACCGGAAGGATGGAGTAAGAATCTGAAAACCACTTGTCCTCCAGTTTCTGAGAAGCTGGTAAGTGCCTTTCGATGGAGGAAGAGCTTTATCTCATACATCTTTACCTTGAATATTGGAAAATTTAAGCAAGGATCTATTTGTCAGAAACATGTTTTAATAGATACACTCAATTTTTCTGCAGGATGTTTATGTTCAACTTTTTTCTATGAGAGAAAGAATAGGCGGTATCAGAATCTGAACGGGAGATAAACAGACTTCTTCCTCTACTTCTTTCACAGAGCTACTAGCTGGCTAACAACGGGCCAAATTGGCTGGGCCTCTTTTGTGTCCTCCGATTCCCTCAGAGAAGTCAAAGCACATAAAGAAATGGCAACAGGATGGAGCAAGGAGAACTCCATCTTCATGAGAGACAGTGCACAGGCAGCTTTAGGGTGCAGTATCTGACAGCAAATCAAAGAGACTGAACGAGGCAAACAAGGGACAGCTGCCCGCGGCTAAGAAGAGATTGTTTCCCTGTGCTGCCTTTTCTCCCCCGTCCTCAAGGACCACCTTTACCCTCATGGCGCACCCATGCCGCTGCTATGTTGTGTAATTTGCAATATTTCAAAATCAAAAAAGAAATCCATTTTGTAACGAATATGCTCCTGTAGGACAGAATCCATTTCCTAACAAAAAATCATTCTCTTGCATAATAGTGCTGTCTTCTGTCCAAGCTGTCACACAAGCACAAGTAATGTCAACATCTACTTTTCTGCCCAGCCCTTGGAGACTATGTTCAGTACAGAGTAGCGCAGGTGCCTGGTGTGTCGGTTAGCAGTCACTGAGTAACAAACACTTCCAGAATGCGGTCTTCCCATTGCCAAGGGATGTCTGGCTCAGCGGAGCCCTTCTCGTGGGCTGAGCCAGGCTAGGCTGCTTTCAACCAGCCTCATTTCGTCTGCTATCTCCCACACCTCTGTTGGTGGCTACTGAGTTGCTTAGAGGCTGCCTGGTCTAAGCTGGGCTCAGCTAGGACTCCTTGACTCTGCTCCACGTGACCTGTCACTGTCCAGCAGGCAATGCTCACCCTACCACTGGGAAGGGTCTAAGAGGCAGACGTGCACGCAGGCCTCTTCAGGCTGAGGCTCTGAAATAGCAAGGAGTCACTCTCTCTCTCTGTCTATTGGCAGCAATCTGTGGCCAAAGCCAATCACTTCTGCGGGAGGTGCTACAAAGTCACAGTGTGGATGGGGTGGGAGGGAGCAAGAAGGGGTAGAAAATCATGGAAGGAAATGACCTAGAGCCTGTCTTCTTAGTAAATATGTTCAGAGCATCTATGGCATTGCATGCCTAGCAGTGCTATTAAAAGAACCTCAAAGTAAAATTCTTCTTCCTAGGAAATTTGTTCCTTATTGGTAAGGTTCTTAGGCATCCTTACAATTCATAGCTAGTACATGATAGGCTTTCAGTGAATATTTATTTGATGAATGCATTCATTTGTCATCAAAAGTACTTTTTTCAAACTCTCATTTCATAGACTCAGTTCTAAGGCACACAGGGGTCACATCTCAACATCTCCAAAATCGGAAAATAACTTACTATCAATGTGATTTTTTAAGTATTGCATCAGTAAATAGCATGTTTTACACTGACAGTATCTTGGATTGAATGAAATACAATTTATATGTTATGAATACTTTAGAAAATATCTGTGAATTTTTAGGCACGCTTTCTGCAAATTTCAATTGGGCAAAAATTTCATAGGATGACTCCATTCAATGAATATTCAAGCCTTCAGTAACCATATGAAATCTACAGCTACTAATTTATAAATGTAAAAGCCAGTAGCTGGCACATAGCAAGTTTATAAAATTTTGTGCATTTATGAACTTCTCAAATTTTTCAAATTGCTATTAAATTTTAAACATGTATCTCTTACTTAATGGAAGGTACAAACATAAGTAAAAATTATGTACATTTCTAAGCACTGATGCACTTAAAAGATTTTTATATTGTAGTGTTTGAAGTTAATCAAAGGTTTAAAAGTTCTAAAATATGAAAAAGTATCAAGCTGTATAAGAATTCTGAGAAGTTACAGAAGAAATATTGATAAAAAAATCTAGAAGAGACTCCCTAGAATGAATGTAATCATGTACTGCAAACAGGTCATAATAAAATTGTTTTAATGCTTGGCAGATAATTTTTTTTTTAATCAAAGACACAGGAAATGAGACACCTTGAGAAAAAATTGGCAAGAACAGATGGCAGAAAATATAGTCCACAGGGCCTGCAGATACTGCAGTTAGCAAATACTGATTATTAAACAACTATGTTTTCAATATTCAAGTAAATAAAAACCTAACATTGAAAATTCCAACACAAAAATGAAAACTATAAAAAAAGTACCATAGAATAGTTTTGAAAGAGAGAAATATAAAGCTTCTAACTGATAACTATGACGTTAGGGACGGGATGTTTGTACCCCTCCAAAATGCCTGTGTTGAAATCTTACCCTGTAAAGTGAGGGTGTCTACAAGTGGGGTCTGCTGGAAATAGTTGGGTTTAGATGAGGTCATCAAGGTGGGGTCCTCATGACAGGACTAAGGCTCTTATAAGAAGATGGGAGTCCAGGTTCCTAGACCACCCTCCTCTGTCATGCAAGGATATAACAGAAAGGGAGCCATCTGCTGGCCAAGAGGACTCTATAAAACAATCAGCTATCCCCTTGATCTTGGACTTCCAGTCTCCAGGTTGGTGGGAAAAAAATGTCTGTTGTTTAATAAAAAAAAAAAATCTTATAAAAGTTTATGAGAAAAGACCAACATAGGACATTGACATAGAGAACTATTTAAAGTGAAAAAATTCACTGAATTTATAAAATGTAAATCATCAGTAAAACATAACCTATACTAACTATATCATAAAAGAATAACTCTGAGCCTTGCAACATAAAGTATTGAGCAAATGAGCTAAATGGCAATAAATAAATACAATATTTTCTTAATAATTATTGACATCTACTAGGTCAGTGCATGTTCCACCCACCAGGTATGTCTACTTTAAGTGTATAGTCTTTTCATCTGCTCTGAACCTTCCTCTTTCTCCCACATTTTGGGGAAGTTGGAGGAAGAGGGCAGGAAGGAGTATGATAAGCTGTTCTTCAAACCACTGCTGCTCTCTCCCTGTCTCTCTCCTCCCCCTCCTGTGATTGCCAGGGCTTTGCACACCTCTCCCTTCCTGGGACCACAACCATAACATCTGGAAATAGGAACTTACCTGGGCTCACTCCCGCTTCCTGTTTTGCTAACTCAAACCCAAACCCACTTACCCACCTCCAGCAATGAAGTTCTTTTCTCTACTGCCTACTTTACAGAATGATTTTCAAATTAGATATCCTTGTCTTACAACTATGAAATTTTTAAAGAGAGAAATAAACTTGTAGCAAACACTGAACATAGAAAACAGAAACTCAAATTTCACAATCAATGTTACATCAAGATCTACAAAACCAGGAAGGTGACTAAGAGATGACTAAGAAAATACTAGTTGCTTTGTGGCTATTTACAAAAATACTATCCTTAGACTTTATTCATTTTCCACTGACTTGCAGGTTTAGATTTTTTTTAAAATTATCAAGAATTACAGCTTTATGAACTTTTTGGTGAAGTGGAAAGGGCAAAAGGCAAAACAGATCAACTCTTTTGGGAGAGATTATGACTAACATTTACAGAAGTGAGAACATTATCTTCAAGTGGACACTGAGCGATTGTGTGATGGCACGGATGGCCTTCTCATGGGAAATACTTTCAGAAAAGCTTTCTGAAAACGTTTGTGACACAATGGATACAAAATGGGGTTAACGAAGGAATTGAACCACTGGAGCCAAAAGGCAAATTTGTACCAGTTTGATTTAGTAAAGCTCTGCTCCTGAAGAATTGAATTAATAATTGTAGTCAGTGAATACGGAGCCCAGCAAATGATAAAAGCTCCTAAAAGAATGGCCAGTGACTTGGCTAATTTCCTGGCTCTGAAAAGTTCGAGACGTTCCCTTTGCTGAAGACTCAGGGAATCTGACTGCGAGAGGGAGCTCATTTTGGAAGCAATCACACTGCTGTTCTTGTGGGATCTTATGGAAAACAAGAGACTGCTCTTTCTTCGTGGTTTGTCTGAACCCAGGGAGGCAGCTGCTTCTTTCCATGCCGGAAGAGTCACCCTTAAACCTGGGTCCTGTCTGCAGGGGTATCCATGGTCATTGCTGAAAGAGGCAGAGGGGGGTCCAGGGTGGCTGAGGCACCTGCTGAAGTTCCCTCGCTTCCACAGGCTCCGGTAAATACATGCATTGAAATAAGCAACTAAGAAGATGGGGATCAGGAACTCCAGCAAGGATGTGAAGACAGCGATGTACCAAGTGTTTAAAAATCCAGGCTCACACTCGTTAGTGTCATTCTTTTTCCAAGACTCTGAAATCAGAATCATTGGCCCATTCGTCAAGAAGGAAAATACCCAAACAGCCACCATCTGAGTGACAGTCTTCCAGGTGCCAGTGTGCTGTACTCTATATGACACCTACGAGAGACCAAATAAATCAGTTTTGACATAATGAATGTATATTGATCACATAAAGCATCGCAGAAGATGAGGACATTAACTCACATGAGTATTGTGGCCTGTACAGGGACAGAGGCTTTAATTTCAGTGGAACCTGAGCCAAGAGGCCGATTTTATAAAGATTTTCAAGGGCAAAACTGTAATCTTCAAGGTTGAGCCTCTGACACTAAACTGTCAAGGTCACTATCTAAAATAAGACAACAATCTTTTTCTAACTCACAGACACTAATGTGAATGTTAAATAACTGAAATAGGGCGTATATAATTTCTCATCCTACAGACAGGGTCATGACCGTCATTCTGTTCAATACAGTACAATAATGAATGTCAAAAGGCATCAGCCATAGTGTAGATACTGTTTGATGATGTTTCATCAACAAAGGCAATACTTTTTAGGACTATGGAGATACAGAGAGAGAGAAATGCAGGTACTAGATCATAGTGCAAAATGCCTTTCTCGCAGTTCAAGAGCCACGGTTAATCTTTTTCCAACATTCTGAAGGAATCCACTCTGCAGTTCATGCTGAGCCTTCCAGGCGGGGTCAAGAGCAGAAAGAAAGGCTCTGTTTGTGTCACTCCCGAGAACGCTGACCACAAACAGAAAGACACTAGTGCTAGTGTTACCAGGCATTGCCAAATCACTTTTCCTGCCAGCGTTTCTATCTGATAGGTACAGTGCCAGTGGGTGAGGCGTAACCACTTCAACTGCAGCCAGTGCTGCTGTCTTTTGTAAGGGTGGAGAACGTTCTAGCTCCATATAGTGACAAAGTCAGGTTTCTCGAAAGGAAAATACGATTCCAAGAGTGAGGACCACCCCCGGACCACAGGCTCCTGTGTCAGACCCGATGTCCTTAAGGACATCTTCCAAATCTAAAGACACCTAAGGCCCACCACCTGAGGTTGTGAGGGATACGTGACTGAACCTAGACTTTTGGATGAGCTGAGCGTCTGGAACACGTAACTTCTCCAAGCCTCTTTTAGATATTCCCTCTGGCTCAAATGTCCCACATTTCTCTATTCCCTCATTCCCCCAAAAGGGAAATTATCTACCTAGGAAATAGGACCAGGTCTCCTTTTCACTAATTCTTCTGTATTATTTTCTCTGTGAGTTTTAAAGTCTTAGGCTACAGCATTGCCACATTTTAAAAGGAATCCAGCACCATTTCATGTTGAGATCAGCTTACCAATAGCTAGGGATAAGAGGAAATTGGTAATTTTTAAAGGTTTTTTAACTATAGGGAAGGGAGCCTTATTCCCCTGGACAGTTGGTACTTCTGAGGCTAAGTTATAATACATGCTGATCAGAAGGGTCCTGACCACAAACTCTCACATACGGTCCACTTTTCCCCCCTTCTCACATCCCTAATTAATACATCTCTTACACTAAATCTAATGATTATGAAGAGGGTAACAATACCCAGATGGTCACAAAACTGCATTTAGTTTTTTAATTGCTCTGTTCAGCCCTAGTAATGATATAATGCAATATGCAGAAAGTGATTTCTCTTTCATTATGCATAAGGTCAATGGAGATAATGGACATCCTAGGGACTTGAGAAGACAATGTCCATCTCTTCATCTCTGGGGAATGTTTTGACAGATACACAGTTCAACCACTGCTGGAGTCCAGACCCAGCTGGTCAGAGTGGCCTCCCTGAAATCAGCCAGGAGCCGAGGTCTTACTACAAAATATGTGAATTATTCAGGATAGTGCCTCTTACTCTACCCACTAAAATATCCAGATGTCCTGTCAGTCAGGTTTCTTTTGTGAGGCAGAGACGCCCACTGGAATGCACTGTGTTAATATGACATTACAGGACCAGTCTACGTGCCTGTTGTGAGTTGAACCGTGTCCCCTCAAAAGACATATTGAGATTCTAACCGCCAGTGCCTGTGAATGCGGCTTTATTTGGAAATATGGCATTTGCAGATGTAATCAAATTGAGATGGGAAATTTGTTGTATTGGATTAGAGTTCACTTTAATCCTACATGACTACATTAGGGTTCACCTAACCCAACATGGCTGGTGTCCTTGTAAGCAAAGAACAGCTACGACCATTGCCTGACTAGAGTGAAGTATCAACAAACTATGGAATGCCAAGAATTATCAATCATCTGATGCTAAGAGGAAGGCACACGTAGGTCCTCTAGAGCCTTCACAGAGAGGACAGCCCTGTCAACACCTTGATTTCAAACTTCCAGCCTCCAGCACTGTGAGACAGTAAGATCCTGTCATCTAGCCACTTCAGTGGCAGCCCTGGGCAAATGGTGCAGGGCCTGACCCAGCCTTCCAGCAGCACAGTTCCTATGGTCTTCATTTTACACTCAAGTTTCTTTCTTTATCTGCAGGTAAAGAAATACTCTTCTGTCTCCACCTTTACTCCATGAGCATTTTAATTTCCATTCCTTCCAGCTTTGATCCAGCCCGGTTCTCCCGCCTCCCTCATCCACTCTGCTTCCCCTACATGGAGTCTGCCCCTCCAGAAAACTTCTCTGAGCGCTCTAATCCCGTGCAGCCATCTGCATGGAGCTTTTCTTTTCCAATCTGTTATCAGATTTCCTTTTCCCAGGCCCAGCGCATCCTGTCTCCTATCACACTGTCTCTTCTACTTTGAGCTCTAGTAAGAGCCCAGCGTCTCACTGCCACCTCCCATGAGCTCCCAGGGGCTTGGAAGGCTTTCTTCTGGTTTCATGAGGTTCTGTGTGGTTTCACAAGTCTGGGCAGCGGAGGTACAAGTGCTATCTGGGGAGCCTGCCAGCGTTTACACACTCATATGCTCCTTTGTGATGACTTCATGAGGCTCTGTACTGCATGCTAAGGACAAGCACCCAGCCACCAGCCTGCACCAACTTTACAACCTGCACTGCCAGGAGCTCCCCAGGCAAAACACTCTCCCACTTTCTCTCTCTCTCTCTCTCTCTCCCTCTCTCTCTCTCCCTCTCTCTCTCTCCCTCCCTCCCTCCCTCTCCCTCTGTCTCTCTCCCTCTGTCTCTGTCTGTCTGTCTGTCTGTCTCCATCCACTTCCTTTCTGGACATCATTCGTTCTTCATCTCTGTAATGTCTAAGCACTTTTTCTAAATGGCCAAGCTGTGCATTTTCTGCTCACAAACCTATGGGTAGACTCAACAGCTTGGACAACTAGTGATGGAAATTGTAAGAACACCCAAAGAAGATTAAAAAAAAATGTATATGCAGAAACACAGGAAAAATTAAAAGCACAAACAGGAAAGATGCTGGTTTCAAATATTTAACTGCATCTAAAGCAAGAGATGTATTTTACATCATAACCAAGTACATAGACAGAATTCATAAAACAGTAGCTACCTTCATGATGTGCAAGGTACTCTGACTTTTCCTATTCTGTTCATATTTTTTCATTAAAAAACATCTAATCACAACCCACTGAACTGATTTCATGACTCAATAATGGGTAAAGGTCTGCCGTTTGAGAAATATGAGATTACTGATATATAAATTGTTAATCCAAAATGATACACACTTTCTCCATTGACCAATACAAACTTGAGTGGACCAGGCATCAGTGATGTTCCCAATTCCCAATGGTGGAGTTAGCTGGTTGCCTTACCACTTCCATAGTTCAGCCAGAGACCACATTTCCCAGCATCCTTTGCAACAAGGAAGGACAGTGTGATTAAGTTCTACCAATTCAATGTGAGTGGAAATGGCAGCATGATTCTGTACTACCTGGTTAAAAGAAAATACCTTGCCTTGGACATCTATCCTTCCCATTTCCTATCTGGAACCTAGAGTAACACAAACCTGACTTGAATCATGCAGAGGATAGTGACCTACAGCAGGGGCAAGCAAACTACAGCCAAGGAACGAACACGGCCTACCACTTGTTTCTGGAAATAGTTTTATTGGCACATAATCGAAGACTTTCTTTTGTCATGTATCATCTAGGGCTGTTTTGTGCTGCTGCAACAACAGAGTTGAGCAGTTACAACCAAGACCATGCGTCCTACAAGGCAGAAAATATTTACTCCTGGCCTGGGTAGTGAAAGTTGACTAGCCCCTGCCCTAGAGGGTGCACAGCCACCCTGTGAATGGGGCCCTAGGTGACTTTCTCCAGCAGAACCTTCCCTCTTTCCTGGGAAAGACAAAGAAACTTCTGTTCTGTTGGAGCCTCTTTGGAATCTCTTTGCCCAGGCATTTGTCCTGGACTTTATCTAACATCTCCTCCCTGTCCTGCTGGCTTCCAGGTCACCCAGTCCTCCAAGGTGGGACCCATCCCATCTACACTGCCAGCACAGCACCCAGACTGTCATAGTGAACTCACATGCTTGTGGATCTGCCCCCACATTGACCATAGTCCCCCCAAACAAATGTCCTGCTTAGTCCCTTTTCTATTCTAGCACTTAGCACAATGCCTGGTACACAGTAATTTCCCAAGGATTTGGGCCCCTGAGACTCAGAAGTGAAAGAAGCTTCCCAAATATTTCAAATCACTGCCCTATATTTCTATGCACCCCCTTATCCTATTCTCCAATGTTCTCTGTTTTCTCCAAGGTTCTCTTGCTGAGAATTTATTTTGCTTAATAATTCTTACTAATTCACTGATGAAACTATTCCAGATTTTGACTACGTTCAGATTTTCTTGGCAGAGGCCCTAAATTAGCCTTGGGACTTGCTTTCTCTGGCTGGTCCCACTATACAACCTGTCTTCTCTTTTGGCCATTCAGAATTAATTTTCTCATCCCATTCAAAAATCTGAGATTCTTTCTATTTCCTTACCAAGTTCTATCCTTTGGAAAATATTTAGGTCTCAATCTGTCTACAGAGTGGAACTGAGAAATTACTATGAACCTCATGTATATCCAACCTACTAAATATTCTGTATATCGCTCCTCAGTTCTCTTTGATGGCTTCCAACTTCACTGGCTTATCAGGGAATGACTTTCCTAAATCACACAAAGGCCAATGAGAACTTTATACCAGATAATAGAAGGATGGAATTCTACTGAGGTTTCTCTATTAACTACAGATTGGACCTAATTTTTTTGTTGTTGGGATGGGGATGCAGCTCAGTGGTAGAGCACATGCATGTACAAGTCCCTGAGCTTCATCTCCAGTACCAAAGGGGTAGGGAGCAAAATTCACAGTAAATCCATATAATCATCTTAGGAAAGTAAATTAACACTGGGACTTACAGCATCTGAGACTGACTGGTATCGATCATAGCTGATGAGGACAATGTTATACACAGATGCTGTACATAAAAGATAGTCAGTAAGGAGCCAAAATATACAAGTTTTCTTTCCAAGAGTCCAATCAGTCAGTGAGGAAGGAATGTAGAGAGGAATTGAGATTGCACCTGCACAGAGAGAAAAAATTGCACACGTCAGTGAATACAAAGAGGCATCTTCTAATGGATAGACAACACAATGATTATACTAAAAATGGCTTGATTATTGCTGTGATTTTGATGAGTGTTCCCCCAAAGATACATATATAAAACCTTGGTTTCCAAGGTGATGGCATTGGGAGGTGCTTTGGACCTTTAGGAGGTGGGGCCCAGTGGGAGGTCCTGGGGTCACTGAGGGCATGACCTTGAAGGGGACCATGGGACCCCAGTCTCTCAGTGTCTCTGCTTCCTGACTCTAGATGTGACCACAAACTCCAACATCTGCTCCCACCATTGCCCCCTCCATCACTTTCACTAGAGGCCAAACTGACCAGCCACCTAACCTTAGATTTGGACCTCCCAACTGTGAGCAACATAAACCTTTTCTCTTTATAAAGTTAATTGCCTCCAATGTTTTGGTATAGTAATGCAAAGCTGACTAACACAGTTATATATAGTAATTTATGTTATTTCATCCAGCAGTCCAGGACTGTTGTCCTATACCTTCTTTAAGTGTGATTTTTATAATACCTGTCTCTGAGCTAACTTCATTCATTCTTTTTGTTTGTTTGTTTGCTTGCTTTTGTAGTACTGGGGACAACACCCAGGAAATGCTAAGCATATCCCTCAACATCCTCTTTTTTCTTTTGACTACTGTATTTTGATACATGGTCTCAATCATATGCCCAGGCTGGCCTTTAACTTGCCATCTTCCTGCCTCAGCCTCTTGAATAACTGGAATTGCAGCCATGCACCAACATGCTCAGCAGCCTACTTCCCTTTTTTCTTCCTAAAACATCTTCTGAGTGTGTGTTTGCACATTTACTTCCTTGTCGCTCTTCCCTAAACTCAGAAAGTAGCCTCCTCTCTGTATCTTTCTCAGAACTTCCTTGGCAGAAGTGATCCTGTTACAGGCAGCTAAGTTAGATAAAATATTATAGGCAGTCAGATAGGGCTAGGCCCGCAAAGGAGTAAGAAGATGCCAGCAGATGAGATACCTCACAAGTGTGGGAGAGACAGGCACCTCCACTCTGGGCCAGACCTCAAGATAAAGGATAAACCAAATGCACCTACATACTTCCCACGGATAAACATCAGGGATTGATATTCTAAATAAGTACCATCAACTTGAGAAGGTCAAGAAGAGCCACTAACCCAACCCCTTACAGGAAAAGCCCCTGTTCTCTATTCATGCCCGCTTGCTACATGACTTGATTCCCCATTTGATCCTGATTTAATCAATTTTACCTGAGCAATTATACTTGTAATCTTATGGGTGGACCATAGTTTTGCCCCACCTGATGCCCATTTGGTGATTTCCCATTTTTCTCACCTTGAACCCACCTCACATCATGGATTTGCTGTATGAAATCCCTAGGAAAGGGAGGGTCCCTAGCAACCCATTTGGGACCCCTTCTGTCTCTCTCTCAGACAGAAGTTTCTTTTCCCCAATAAATATATTCTGCTCTTAACCTCCATTGTTCCTAAAATTCATTCTTCAATTTTAGAGAACATGAACTCATACTAGATATCTAGCAGGTTGGGAATTTCTTTCCCCTGTATCAATCCCTCTGTAAGTTGAAGGGAGGAGAAGGGGTTAGGGGAAAATGAAGAATCAAAATATATCATGTCCAGGTACAAATTCCCTATGATGGATGTGATCACTATGTAGATCTGAAGTGTACCAATGAAATCAATAATAAAAAGAAGTGACCCCTGTGCCACCTGCACTCTCCCAGCACTTTGCCACTCTTGTCTCTTCTCTGGTGCACTGATTACATTCCACATTATATCATAATCACCATTTAATCAGTTTCCCCTGAGAATTAGGACCATGTTGCAAATCAGTGTTTTAGTCCTCCCACATCCAGACTGACCTGCACCAGGGCCTGCATACTGGACTTCATAGCCACTAACATGTAGGGAACAGTGACAGTG